GGTAAATATCAGATAAAATATAGAAGTTTGCAAAAGATTTACTTTCATACATACTAGGGAAAAGTCAAGGTTATTATTCCTTTAATAACATCATTCTAATTGAATTGCATTCCAGTGTGTCTTTTTGGGCATAAGAGAAAGGAGTAGTCACAAAGATACTGCTGGGAATTTTGCATAATCCTGTCTATGTCCCTGGGAGTGTCCTAGGGAGAATATGAAATGCAAATGTGAACATCATCTATCATGCATCATCTATCATGTGAATCACTAGAGAGAAAAGACTAAAATGAACTAATGTAACCAATGGAAACAAATAGTTACAAAAATAACACTTAGTTGTTATGAAGAACAAAATGAAAGGTGGTGGATTTAAAAAGATTTAATGATACAACTAAATTTAAAGTATATGATTTAAAATATTATTGATGTAATATTATTTAAAGTATTATTGATGTAATTGAACTTAAAATACATCATTTACAAAAATACAGTTTATATACAAATATGCATCTACTTCAAAAAGATAAGACTCATCTAAGTTTGAAATACTCTTTAATTTCCCTTTTCTAACAAGATATACTTCTACTTCTTCTGGACTATAGTGTATCCTAAAGTAATCCTATTTTTTCCAACAGAGTGTCAGTTATGAAAAGATTTATTGCTAAGAAACAAACAATTTGTTAGAATCATGTAATTGTTTCTTTTAGCCTCATTCATTTCCTGGCACGGACTGGTAGGAAGTTGTTTGTTTTCATTTGATTTTAATGTCTATACTTGCTTCAACGTTTAGCATTCTTCAAAGTTTAGCAAGCTATAGTGTAACGACATTGGATTCCAGATTTCTAATTGAAATATTTCGTAAATAAAAATAAAGAATACTCAGGAATATTTTTACAAAGTTCCCAAGTGCTATGGTTTAGCCTCATTTTTACAATTTTTGGATGCTGCCTTCTCTATTCTCCTACATATATTTCAACATGCTCCAGTCAAATATATGTTCTATAATCCAGTGTTGAGCAGAATTTTGCTGTTCATTCTCCTAAACTTTATTTAACAAAAGACTAAAGCAATAAAAGCAAAAGCAGAAGCATCTTATTTCATTGGGGTATGTAAGGAAATCTGATTATTCTTGTTGAAAAAATAGCCCTATAGAATTTATAGACGAGCCACACAGGAAGGATGGAGTTTCTATTTCTAGAGATAGGATCCCTCCGCTCCGACAAAGCATCCCCAAACAGACAAGAATCAAACATTTGTAAAAGGCATTTTGGAGAGCATACAACCTCTCAATTTCAATATTTGATAACCTCCATCCAGACATCCCCCTTACAATCTAATCCAAATCCCCTATTCTTCTTTTTAAATCATTTCCCTCATCTTCCCTCTTTAGTGAAAACTGAAATTAGCAGGTCACTATGATATGAATAGCAGTCTTTCACATATGTGAAAACTTGAAATAAAATACACCTCCACTTTCTATTTATTATATTTTTTCAGACTTATTTTTACCTTGATCTATAGGTTTCTTTTATAATTAGGTGTTTTATTTGCAACCCTCAAAGTCATAATGGTTACGCTGTAAATATTCACCAACTGAAGTAAAACTTCACCATTCTCAAAACATTTGGCTAAACTTTCATGGTTTCAGAAAGTTTACCCAGAATGAGAATAGATATGTTTTTTAAGGCATGATCATATGAAGGAAATTAGGACTTTGAAGATGCTTAGGAGGAAATAACTGCTAAGAAGATGATCATGAACAGGATGACAATTTTACCTATTATGCTTCTAGGAATATAATATGCAAAGCATGCCGAATGTGACATGCTTCATGAACCCTCAAGAAGTTCACAATTTTATTGAACACACATATGTATCTAAAATACTATAATATAATAAATACAACATGCAAGATGTTGCAGAATCCAGCTAACTGTAGAATAAAGTGGCAAAGAAAGGCCAAAAAAGACTTCAGTGAGGTGAAGTCTAAGCTGAGTCTGAAATAGGAGGTTCAACAAACTGCAAAGCAACAGTGAAACTGTTAAAGCAAAATGAACATGTGATTGGGCAAAAAAGCTTAAAACGGCTCAATCTGTTTAGAGAATTGAAAAAAAGTGCAGAGAAGGGGAAAAGTAGCAAGAGTTACTGAAAAGGTAGTCAAGGCCCAGGTTCTAGAACAATTTTCTGTACAGCTAAAGAATTAGGACTTTGTCCTGCAGGAAGTTTAAGGAGAAAATTAATGAGGCCAGATAGCTGTGTGTTAATTAAGCTGCTGCAAAAAGTGAACTGGGAGGAGGGAAAAGCAAAGACAAGAAAAACCAACCAAAAGGCTGGTCCAGAAGTTCAGCCAAGGCAGAATGCGGGTGTGAACCAAAGCAGTGAAATAAGGATGGAGGAGAGGCCATGAAAGTAACATATTTTTGAAAGGTAGAATCAAAAACTTGGTTAGCAATTGGAGGTCTATGGTAATGAACTGAGGAAGCCGAGGATAAATCACAGGTTTTCAGCTTGGATGGTGATGTCATTCACTTAGAAAGGCAACAGAAGTAGAAGAGCAATGTTGATTAGGAAAAGTAATGATTTCAACATTGGCCTTGCAGAGTGTGAATTGTCTGTGGAGCATCACATTGAAGGTTGGAGTTGGTGGGTAAATGGTGTTTTATGCCAATGCACAGCTAAAGGTTAAGGGGATGAATCCAGAGGTGGTGCCTTTTTCTAATTTTCACAGGGACTTTAGTGATTGATCAGGATCAGGTGAGGACATCCAGTAGACAGCTGCAGAGGGGAGGGAGACCCAGGCTGGAGGTAAACACATGGGAGACATCGCTATTCAAAACTGTGCAGACCAACACAGTAGCCAATAGTCACACATGTCTAGATTTAAAATAATCAAAAGTAAATGCGGTTAAAAATTCACTTTTTCAGTCCCATTGGTCCCATTTCATGCATGCCAAGGCCAATGTGGTTAGAGCCTACTGTACTGGGTGGCACAGATATAAATCATTTCCAGTAACACAGAAAATTCTATGAGAAGGTGCTGACATGGAGCACATAAAATAAGAGGAAAAATTGGGGGAAAGAACCCTAAGGGAAGAAGAGATACACAAAGAGGAGGGAAGGAAGATGAGTGAAATGAGAAGGAGTGATCAAAGGAGTTTAAAAAAAGGGGGGGAAATAATCACACTAGTGTGGCTACGAGAAGACAGTTCAAAGAAACAAAATACTCAAGAATAAGAAAAGCTGAAAGGAAGTCAAATAAGAAAAGAAGTAAAACAAAAATACCTATAGGTAGTTTATTTTACCCTGACATTTGATATAAAATTAGAATAGGTACCAATTTCTTCAGATGTAAAATGACTCAATGAGACTAATTCTCTCACTCAGATGACAGGTTCAGCTTTTAGAAAGAATTGAAGTGCCCCACAGGAAGGGAAATGTTAGAAATATGACCATTTTCTTCCCACACTTTAATCAGGCAGGGAAGCCCTTGCCTACACATCCTCCTTAGCCATTGTTCTTCTGGGAGTGTTTGTGAGGGTCTCTAATTAAGGTCTGTATCACTGCTGAATAGGTTTTCTTGAAAGGGTATGTCAAATACCTATACTCAGACATCAAACAGCACACAAAATTCTCTGCTCAGATCAAAAATAAAGCTGATAAAACAGTAGTTACGAGGGACTGGAGGTGGGCAGATGGGGAGTTATTGTTCTATAGGTACAGAGTTTCAGTCTGGGATGACGAAAATGTTCCGGAAATGGATAGTGGCAATAGTTATATATGTGAATGTGTTCAATGTCATTGAATGGTATGTTTAAAAATGGTTAAAATGGTAAATTTTATGCTATGTATATTTTACCATGATAAATTTTTTTAAAAAAAACAAATCAAGCTGAACTAAAACATGTAACATGGGAGAGAATCTGGAAGAAAACTCTCACAACTTTCTACACCTGGGAAATTTCAGATATGAAACATAAATGTTGAAAACATTGTCTACAAACATCTATTACTTGAAGTAATATAGGTATTTGTATTAGATATATGATATCAAGGTGGGCATATATGGGTTTGATAAGTTGTAAGGTATTAAGCATCTCTTGTTACTGTTGATATTGCTTTCTCTGATAATGTCAATGGTCTGATAAAAGGAAACAAGTTAAAGCTTTAAATGTCGCTAACAGAACAAAATACATTAGGCTAGTTTCATAATCAAGATGGCATTTATAACCTTTTCCTTACTATTTGCTCCTCAGGTCAATAGCTACAGTTAGCTGGTAGAATGGCAAAGTATAATTATCAGCAGTAAACTTGAGGCAACGACGTTTGTACAGCCTAAATGCTCACTCTGTGATTAAAGGAGGGTGAGTATCCCATGAATCACTCCTCATGCAGTCTCTGACAATCAAGGGAACACAGAAGGGACCTTAAGAGAAGCCAGTTGCTACTTCCATTTGTGTTATTGCAACCAGGAAGCAGAAAATTTCAAGCTAAAATTAAAATCAAAGCAGGTGACAGTTCATGAATGTAAAATCGTACAATAAGCCAATGCATGTTTGTTCCCGAATCTTTTACAAATTACACAAAAAGTAGTCTCATAGGGATTTTAACTCTGTCTTCCATCAGCATCCAGACTTTTCTTTGCAGACACATTGGCAAACTGGAAGTAAACACTTGCACATTCATCATCGCACCCTGTTTCCTTTCCAAGAATATTTACCAAATACAAAGAACAGGACCATCTTTTAATCAAATTGAGTCTTCCTTGCCTACTTGTGAAGATCTGCTCAAATATACAGAACACAGGGATTCTGATCAAAATACAGGGATTCTGCTGGTATAACAACCTGACAAACCAAATCATCTCATGATTGTAAGCTAAAAATGTGCTGGCACAAGGCAAGAACAGACACTAGAAGTGGAAACCAATCAAAGAAAAAGAATGAAAGAAGGAAACAAGAAAGACAAAGAAAAATAGAAGAGATGAGTCATACTATACTTACAACTTTCAGCCTGATAGTCTGGCACAAACTGCTCATCATTGTCAGGTACCTGAGCTGAAGAAGAAAAAAAAAATTTAAAAAAATTAAGATAGAAACTGCCAAGGCATGAGGAATGTCAAGCAAAATCTGTCAAGATCTTTTTAGGCTGAGATCAAACCTACGATTATTTACCAATGAGCTCCTATTTAAAATGGTATTGACAGGACTACTTAGGAAGGGAAATAGAAGGGATTATTGATGTCAACTACAAAATATATACACTCATATGTCAGAAATATGACGACGGCAGGTGTAGTCCCTCTGAATTTCACCTGCCCGATGGAAATAAAAGAGAAGCAAAACTAAAGCTATAGGATTTCTATTTCATGTAGAGGTTTTTTTTGTTTTTTTTTTTGTAAGAATGGAGCAAAAGGTATTTCAATTCACCCACTGTCAGTCCTTAAGCAGTCGCTCTAAATTAACACAATTCTTTTAAGTGATGTGCAGTTATCACACATATCCCTATGCTTTCTTAGAAATGTCTGCTTTTGGTATAATCCATCCCATGCAAATTATGCCATAATTAAAACTGTTTGCTCTACATGTGGCCAATCTGCTACAAAGTTTTTAGATGAAAGAACTGTCCTTGATTTGGGTCATATGTAAAAAAGTAATATATTTCAATGATTGTATTCATAATAAAAATAATAAACAAAAAAGCCATCTTTTTATGCAAAATATTTTCCTGGCAACTATTCAGCACTATTTCATCAGTCCTAATGTCAAATGTCTTCCCTATTTTTAGTAAAGGAAAAATACTGAATAACAAAGACTTAACACATTCGGCAGCAATCAAAACACAAGGAAACTTTTTCACTTCTAAAACGTTTCCATCACAGATTATTTTTGTATTAAAATAACCTATTCTAAACTTACAGACTATTACTAAAATGAGTTTTTACAAACACACACAATTATACACACGCACACATATGTGCTACACAAAATAGAAGTTAGGTCACTTTTAATTTGGTAAAAATATAATGAATTGTCATCCTACCTAATGCTAGCTATGAACTGATTAGCTAGTATTACTTTACTAGTATTATATACTACTAAAACTTTTTAATCCAATCAAATCATATTAAAACTGATGTCAATTTTTTTTTAAATGAGCCTATTCTGTATGGGAAATGCTTATTAAAATAAACAGTCTCTTGAAATTGTTTCAAGGTTAGTAATTGAATGGGTTAACCAAAAAAACTAATTAAAAAGAGATTCTATGTAAAAAAAATTCTATATAAAAAGGAATACAAAATCTATAGAATTAAAGTTTCTTTTTATCAGTTTATCTGATAGTATTTTTTAAAAACAAATATTTGGCTGAATAATAGTTATGTTATATTAACACCATTAACTATTCTATTCAATGATAATCTTGTCTATTATTAAAATATATACAGTTTAACAACTTTTCCTTAACCAATACTTAACCTCCTTAAAGACACACTCTATCTCCTGCCACCAAATGAAATCAAACAAATTAAGAACTTTTTCAAGATATAACTGATGCCTAGGTGATCAACCTACACTGGAAGAAGAATTTTTTTCTCTTCATCTTCCAATAATGTCTGATGCTGTGGGTAACAACTTAAAAATCAGCAATCTTCAAATCATAGTTATATGACATGCTAGCTGTGTAATTTTAGGTAAGTTATTGAACCTCTTGGAACTGCATTTTACTTATCAGTTTAATAGTAATAATACAGATTTTGTGTGTGTGAGGATTAAATGAAATAGTCGAAATACAATGCCAGCTACTCAAGAAATGTTACTTATTTCTTCTTTCCAATCCTCCACCGCCCACTCTTTTCTTTCAAGTCACATACAAAAAAGTACTTCAACCATTACAATGCCCAGTTTAATATCTTTACTTCTAATGAATTCTGTTGGAGAAGGAAAAAAAAAACAGCTAAAACTTGTACATTAGAATTCTCTCACCTACAAACACAACATATCTTTTGACTCTGCAGTAAAATTTTTCTCACAGATTCATAAGTTATAAGTGGAGGAGTATACTTTAAGTCTTCACACCAAAAAAAAAAAAACACAAGTGTTTTTAATACATATTAATAAATAACAGCAAGTAAACATTCAATCCTGCACATTTTTTCCATCATTTCCACATGTTTTGGTTTTCCCTCTAAATCAACAGCTAAACAGATATAACTATTGAGATGCAAAATTATCAACCACAGCAATTACTATGCTTTTAAAAAGCCAACATTTACAAGAATCTAATAAAAATGTAATATCCCTTTACAGGAATAGTTAAAAATAGCTGGTGAGTAACAAAAGTATATTTGTAATTGAATATGCTGGTATGAATACGCTGGTATGAATGTGCAAACGGCCAGATTTTTTTTTTCCATAGTATCTTAAGATTAATTCCCAACTCCATAATATATCACTGTACGAGCAGCCTAAAAATCACTGATGGGTGTATGGTGTATGTTGAAATACGTGTGAGAAAAAAAAAAGCAAAACTAGAAGTAGAAGAATCTAGAAGTTATACCTCACAAATACACTGAAAATAGCTGCATACTAACAATTTGTAAAATTTGTTAGAATAAGAATTTCTATTTCTGTTCTAACTCCTTAACATACTGAATAAATACTTCACACTTATGTCTGAACATATTATAGAATTTTAACAAAAAACATATGACTCACATTTTCACAGAAGCTAATCTTTAGAAGCTGAATAGACCAAATGAAGCAGCATGCCACTTAAATAAAGACAAAGGCTTAAGCATACCTCTAATTTCAAGTTAGAGTAAAAGGAAAGCAGTTAACTAAAAACATAAGTTGGATCTAGGCAAGGAAAATATGACAAAGTATTGCCACACTCATATCATACATTTCCGTTTTTTCTTGATTTCAGCGGAATTCTGTGAAGGAGCAAACTACAGCTGCCTGAAAATTTGTGGCAAGCCATACCAACTCCAAGGCTGCAAATTAACAACAGAGGTCAGCCTAAAAAAGAAATGTTTTTTTCACTACTATCTATTATAAACTGTGCTTGAAATTATCACCTCCGGGGAATGGAAATGTTTCCCTACACCATATGATTAAAGAGGAAGGGAAAAAGGGAAAAAGAAGAAGGGGAGAAAGTGTATACCAAAAGACCAATAAAAGGCTTTCAAGAAGATTAAGCATGTGGATTTTATTGGTAATAGCTAGAGCAGCTCTATCAGTTCATTGCACATTAATAGACAAGTTGCCATCAAGTCTCAGAATCTCAGCTTTAAAAGGCTAGTAGTATCTGCACTCTCAGCTATTTGCTTTACCTAGATTATCATCCAAAGTTGTTCTTTTACTTTCTCTTTTTACTACATATTAAGGGAAAGAAATTCATAAAAATACTAACCATGACCTATATATGTCACAGAATCCCCAATTTCTCATTTGTTAAATTTTAATATGCATTCTTAACTAACATTGCCTTGGGGGTGGGCAATGTTAAATATAGTTCAACTTTATTTTACGCCTATTTTTAACTTTCACTTAAAATAATAATCCTTACTTAAAAAGTAAGCATTTAAAAATTTTCCAAGGTTTGCTGCAGGCAAGCAAAAATTCCTTTTTCTTACAAACTAATTGCCTGTTGAGTTTTATTTTAAAGCTAGGAAAAAAGTGGGAAAATTACAAATAAAACAAATGTCAAGTAGAAAAGGGGTTAATATTTAATTAAAACCAGTTCTATCCACTGTAACAATGACCTGGAGCCAAACAAGGCGGAAGATGTATGAGTCATTCTTTCTGCCCGTGAATGAGACAGCTGATCTCCTCAGCTATTCCTCAAGACAAGCAGGCAGAACTGGAGTTCTGCCTCCATTCACAAAAACACAGTCCAGCATGAGCCATGTGGCCCAACCACAATCTTTTCATGTCACACCCTTCCAGAGAGCTACAGCAAGTAAACTTGAACTTGCAGTATAAACACAGCAATTTATTGCTCTGTCTCAGAGCTCAGATCTTTTAAAAGAACATTTTTAAATATGATAAATTTTATATATATTAAATATATTAAACATATACACACACATATATATACAGATACACATTCCATCCTACTTTATAAGGTAACTTATTACAGAAACTTGAATGTACAAACCTAAGGAAGGAAGGAAAGAGAAAGAGAAGGAAGGAAAAAGAAAAACCATTGAAGAAATGCTTTATTTTTCTTGCTGATTATTCAAATTTTTTTAATCCTAAAAATATGGTAGATTATTGCTGAACTTTGTAGCATTTCTCTTTGAATCAAAGGGTTAGAAACAAATTTCTCTGAAGAAATTTAAATTTTATTTTAAATAAAAGTAAAACAACAAGAAAAATGAACCTTTGCACAGTGGTATTTTGTTTAATCCTAAAATGAAGCTACAGGCCATGGAACAAAATAATCATGAGGCCACTAAGCCTGGTTTTACACCACATCCGCTTTTAACATTAAAATGATTGTACCAATGTAAAAGCACTAATTAATGCTGAAGTATAAACATATTTAAACAGACAAAAAAGGAGACTATTTCCCCATGACAAAAACACCTTTAATACCTGATAAAGACATTCTTTCTATATGCTCTAAAAGAAAGGAAAGTTTTAGTTGTCTTGAGTCTCAAATTAACTTCAATTCCTAACTGAAAATTGACCTGCAGTGACTTGAAAACTTAAGGGAAGGTCAGAGCCAACTAGTTGTTGTTCCCAGCCAAATATTTTCTCTAAAGTTATACTATAAAATGCAAGAAAGTACACATTTCCTATAAACGAAATAGAAAAGCTCAGCGATAGTTCATTTATTAGGACCTTCTGGAAAAACTACCCTATGCAACACCAAATCCAAATTTTTTATCTTTTTTAAAAAAAAAATCTTCTGTTTTGTAAATACAACATAGATGAAAAAACATTTATGTAATTCCAATGAACATTCAGAAATAAAATACCCTTACTCTATCTGCTATCTTTAAGTTCAAATGAGAACTCTTTCTTTCATATTTTATACTATTTCCCGGTATAACAAAGAAGGGTGGTGCCTCCCCTAACTCCACAACATGTGAAATGCCAGTTGCTCAACTCTAAGAAATTGTGTGGACTTCTATAATTTAATGCTTAATTCTCAATTCCTGTCTTACGTAAACCACATAAAAGAATGTCGTTTTTTAAGCCTTTACTTTTTACCGAACTAGATTGGGGAAAAAAATTCATGAGCACATATCCAATTTTATGTTCCATTTAAAAAAGAAACAGTAGAATTTTTAAAAAATGAAAATGAGTGTATTATGACTCTTGTGTATTGTGGATGGCATTCTACATAGTAACAACAGCACATATTATTTAAGAAACATCATAAAAAATAACTTCTAATATAAATTTAGCAACAGCCATTGAAGTGAATTGAGGAGAAAGTAATGACATCTTTACTTTTAAGTCAACCTGACTATTATTTGAAGGTCACATAATACCAAAGGAAAAAAAAAAAAACCTCATTTGCATGAGGTAATAACCTTTGGTGTGGAAAGGTTGTTCTTGGAGATAAAACTTTGACTCAAAGTGTGGCGGCAGCATTAAACTTATTACAACACCACTGAAAAACATTTTAACTGATGACAGGGAATCACTGTTGACTTTTTTTCTTTAATATTACTGATGAAAGAGAACCTGAAAAGAACATCTAGACCGACAACAAAATAACAGTCAAAAGAGTAGGTATGTATTTAAATTAGATATATACTACAATTTATTATTTCTCTTTAAGTTGTATTAGTAGGTAAGCTTTAATAAGCAAGTTTAGAAGAATACAACGCTTCCTTAACTCAATTTTTTTATATCTTTCTATTTCTGTTCCCCCCACACAAGAGGTTTCGTTGTAACTATGACTCTTAAGTTGTTAAGAATAAGACGTTGCCATGATATTGATAAGATTGGTATTTAAACTCATTATTTCACGGGATCAAATAATTGCAATTGCCTTTCTATCAGTAGCAATCTAATTCAAAAGACAAAGAATCAATAAAGAATTATACATAATAAAATTATAACATAAAGTAGCTATGACAAAATTTAAAATAGGCATATTCTCTGATTTTGTTTTTACTGCTACTGTGGTCACTAAAAACATTAGCTTTTCAATCTTCTTCAGAAAAAGGTGATTATTTTAAATTGTGGTATAGATGTTAAAAATCTTTAAACTGCAGTGTTACTTGGAAAGTGATATAAATAAAAAGTTATATTTTTTACAACCTATACAAACCCTGCATCCGTGTATGGAAATCAAGTTTTGGGGAGAATGCAACTGTATTTTCAGAGAGCACGTTAGTGAATAGAAAATACTGGTTCCATCCCCACCCTTCAATAGTCCTGCCTTAACTATTCCAACTTCCCCTTAGAGATAAAACACATTTCATAACCCATAATAATTTGCCCATGACTAATCCATATGTTGCACTTTAGGTCAAATTTATAAAAATTCTTACAGCAAAAACCAAATTATAAATGCCAAGATATATTATTTCCCAAGTATTTAGGGACCTTTATAATTTTTTTAAAAAACATGACTATCACATTACACATTATAACTAACTTGACTCTCGTGTCTAATAAAATTTTTAGACCTTTTTAACTTCCCAGTGGGATTCTAACTCATGGGAGAAACTTGGTTAATTGCCAATGATCTTTTTTAAAAGGGTCAAAATGTCTTAAAATTCCATGGTCACTTTCTTGGCTATGAAGCATTATGAAAAGAAGTATGTAAATGGTTCACAGTCTGCCAATTTGGCAATGTTTTAATTTCTGAATATCCAGAAGAACATAAATGGACAAATCTAGCTACAAATAAACTAGGGTAATTTGGGGAATCTCTTCTTAGCTAATATTGTTCAAGACATGGGATAGGTCAAATAAAAATGTTAGTGCAAAATAATATATCTATATTTAATTGCTAGATGAAAAAAAAAGTCTATTAACAAGTAGTAAAAAAAAAATACTCTTCTCACTGTTACATTCCTAAACATCACAATAACAACTTTTTGCTTATATGATTAGACAAATTAAGGTAAACTATTTTGAAAATGTTTAAATTATTCCAAAATGCAATCTTCTCCATAGTTTGTAAATAATAGCCCACCTGGGTATTCAACAAAACACTTACAATTAATTCTTGAACTTAATTAGGCTAACAAATTCTTTTCTAAGTAAAAGTCCACATTTCTCCAAATACATCTATCATTTTCTAAATTGATTTTATGTGAAGCTAAGTCTTCAGATTTTATTTCCAGGTATGTTAATAATCCCTGGTGAAACTATTCTCTGCAGAGTTTTAAAAGATAAACTTGGATAAATTATTCAAATCACTTATCTGAGCTATAAGACACAAAACAAGTCAAAAGTTTAAAAAAATATACTGAAACTGATTATAAAATGGTAAGAGTCTGTCACAGATTCCACATTTTAAAATTCCAGAAACAGAGTTGCTATGCACATTCAAAATCTGCCAGCAAGTGCACTGACTTGGAATCAATGAGATTTAAACATCTTAAGAACCAACAAACCTTCCAGAACAATTAAAATAAATATTTTAAGTTATTTTGGATAAGTGAATAAATTTCTCCATAAGTGAAACATCTTCACAACCTTCAACAGTGCAAAACTAATAGAAAAAAAGTTAGTACAAGAACCTCTGTGCAAATTTTTCATGAAAAAGTTATGTTTGAATGTATGGCTTATGTTGCAATAATAAGTAATCTATTGCAATAAGTTTCATTTACAGAGACAAACAAAATGACCTTTAAATATAACCAAAACTTGCACTAATACCTACCTTTCATTAAAATGCAAATACAATTACCCTTTCAAAGAACTCTTAGGAAAGCTATTTAACTTAAAAGATTGATAAAGATTTCAAAAGCTCTTCGGAGAACTAGAATATCAGCAAAACAAAGAAATTTATTGTACATGCTAACATCAACTTGATCAACTGCATTCAAGACCACCAGATAAAATACATCGGACAGCCTCAAAGTAGGTACAACACCTGGGTTCCTTTTAAAGAGACCCCTCTTTCCTTTTAACCATCTTAAAAATCTATTCCAAAACTTGCATGTTTCCCATATAATGTGAACACACAAATAACACAATTACACTTAATGCTTAAATATCTACAATTTTCTCTTCGTGTTTTCCACAAAACACATCATAAAATTAATATTTCACATTTTTATTGCCAAATCCAAAAGAAAAATGTCAAATTATGGATGCCAACAAAAGTCTCTCAATATTAGGCATTTCTTAAGTTGTATAAAGCTTTACTGAAGCAGTATCTCTTTATTCCCACAAATAAAGTTGCACACAGTAAAAGATATAATAGATTACACCAGAAAATTTTACCAAAAAATGACCAAAAATAAAAGTAATGCCTTTAAATTTGTTCTTACTATATTAAATAAATCTTAATAAAAATGATAAAACAGCAAATGTTAACTTCAACAAACATTACATAAATAGTAACACATAGAAAACATTTAAAAAATCCTCAAATCCCCCAAAGATTTATTTTAAACCCATAGATTTCCTAAGTATTGGATACACACCTAACGTTCTGTGTTGTGAGCAAGGTGGAAAGAAGACACTTGCACTTAAATCTTGAAGCATCCCGTCCTGATGAACCCAGAGAAACTAATTTCTGCCATCAGAAAAGTCCTCCACCAGAACACCAAATAATGATATGCGCTGCTCTAAAGGAAACAGCAAGCCAGCCGGGTTCTGGCTCTAGGAGGTCTCTGGAGGTACAATAATATAAACCTGATCAATTGCAATTAAAATCTGAACAGAGGCTTAGAACTTGAAGTCTTGGTGCATTAGTTCTTGCCAAAAGCAGATGTGATTGTGAGCTGGAAGCAATTTCTCCTGGTAATTTGTGATGACACTGGGTAGTACAGCCCCAGAGTCCCCAAAGACAAACTCATCAGAGGCTCTAATGTATGCATGACACATGAGGTGGCTCTTTTAGAGCTCAATTAATTGGGCTGAACATTAAGACAGCAAGTTCAGGATTTTTTTTTTTCCCTTCTGGAGTCGCTTTTTCCCTCTTTTAAAGCAATTTTTGCCTTACCTTCTGCAAGCCATGTTTCTTGTAATTGACTTAGATCTTGAAAGAGTTCTAAAAAACAAGTCAAAGACATAAACATAAGATTTGCAAATCTTTAGTCTTCATTAAATGAAAGTGTTTATCATGAAATTGGTATTAAACAGCAACTTAATTGAGGAGAGGGAGTCAATATAAAAAGAAAATAGGATTCATAACTTACATATCTCAATAATCCTTTTGATACTTATTAAGCAAGACTTTAAGAAATTCTTTTAGTCAAATAAATAATATTTTCTTTCTCCTTTTTAACAAATGGCTTAATAAATAAGCTCTGGCATAACAAGCAACACACATAGACCAGGATTCACAAAAGGGCTGAGATGAAGGTGTGTCTATTCAGGAAAACCTTTCTGAAATATATTCTACTCTTGCTAAAATAGTATTAGGGGAGAGATTAGAAAGACTGAAAAGCATTTTATTGATATCTTCTGGATCTTATGTAAAAGATGTAACACTACAAGATATAATTTCCAAAGTACTATGTTTTCAAGTTTAATGTGTCAAAACTAAAAGAAACTACTTTATATACAAATTTCTAGAGGAAGATATCTACATGAGTAGGTTTACAAAAGTCAAAGACTGATAATTCCTTGGTACCAGGTTATTATCAAGTCCCAAACTGTGTATTGTCGTGTTGGGGAGAGAGGGAGGTGTCCAATAAGGATGAAGATTTGAGGAAGTTTCAGAATTCAGTATAGCTAATTAAAATTGCAAGCTGAACTTTGATAATTAAAAGTATATTAAGTTTTTATTAATGCCCCCATATGGCTGAAATAATTTATAATATATTGACCTCCTATCAACAGTTCATAAAAAGAATCTGCAGCCTAATTTCCCAAATAGCATTATAATTATTAATTAGGCCCTAGATATGATTCAATGAACACTTTAAAGTCTATAAACAAGATATTATGACCTCACAAAGTGGTCATCAAAATTACCCATAAAAATTGTGATAATAGTATATGGTTTTAGTGTAAAGGGGATGGTAAATCAATCATTAATATTGTTTAACTTGAAGTAAAGTAGAAAGAAAAACGCAAGCAGTGTACATAGCTGATGAATTTGTCCCACTGTGTTATATATTTTTAAACTGTTATCTTAGTGTCTGAGATTAGTTTATATTCCATATGGACAGGGGTATTTAAACACAAAAGAATGATTAAAAGAAGGATGTCACTGTTAAGTTTTCTATTTCCTTCTTTCATTAGTTTGTGACAGGGCTATAAAATATTCTCTAGTGCAAACTGTCACATTATGTAAATTGCTCCAAGTAAAAGTCTTAGTTAAATTCAGTAATTTCAAAAGTTTATTATTTTTAAGATAAGACTGAAGTGTTCCTGTTCTTTATGAGGGTGGAGAGTGTAGGTAAAGAGTGGGGATTCAGCCCAAAATCAAACCTCACCTTCTGAATCATGAGCCAGATCTCTGTTAATGAATTTTCTTTTCCTGACATTTGTTGGTTTCTCGTTACAATTTCTCCCACGCTGACTCTACAAAGGGAAAGATAAAATCCTTTAAAAGAATGTAATCCTCAGATGTCACGCACACACACATACAAAACATGCATACATAAGTCTACTGGATCCTCTTTCTGAATAGAAAAATAAAAGTTCATAGTATCAATTCTAATATTCATTTTCTGCATTTATTTGACAGTGAAAGCTTATGCTGAGAATTTAACAGGCAGGGAGATTTGTTTCCCAGTGCCGATCCTAACACACTACTATTTATCAGTCATACAGACATGTTATCTCAGCATCAAAACAACATTAAGCAATTACACTTAAAGTTGTTTAAAGGCTTGATCAATGTTAGATTACAATACAGTGAATTTTATTCTCTCTCGGACAGCCCCCCAATAAGCAAAAAGAGTGGAGAAATGAAAGAAAAAAGAAAATGAGGGGAAAAAAAGAAACAAAAACACCCCATATAAACAAAAAGTGTCAGCATTTGTCTCAACTTCATTCTTTTCAATGTGGCAGACAAACCCAGCCAAAAACTTTGAGTGCAGCAGCTGCTGCTGCCCTCCATCTCCTCTTCCACTCATCTTGGGCACTTTAAACAGAAAAAAAGGGGGCTTAAAAACAAAACTATGCCTTATCCAAATCACTGAAAGGTAAGCTCATTTTGAAGATTGGGCTTCTAGAAGCAGAGTCGCCCTACAGTGGCAACAAAGCAGATAAGTATCTGCAATCCCAACCCCCTTACCCCCCTCCCTTCTCCTTCTCTTTCTCCCCACCCCCGTCGGAGTCAAGTTTATAAACAGCAACTTTCAAACTGATCACTCACATTGGTGACCATGTAAGGCACTTGCTGGTCATAAAATCCATCCATTCTGCTGCTCTTCGCAAATCTCAGCTCAGAATTTTATATTTTGAGCATTTAGCTGGAGATTTCCTCGGGATCTGGACTTCTATCAACCTAGAGGGGAACAAGATGGCTTTTAGGCTTAAAAAAAAAATCATGAATGAAGCTCTTGAATTTGCATAGCTAATTACCCTCCGACAGTCCCATTCACAAAAATAACCCTCCCTACACCGCCTCCTTCACCTGGATCCAAAGAGAGCCAAGAGAGTTCACAATTTACATATTTTCGGTAGTAGCAAAAATCCGAACAAGAGGCGATGTATTTATTTACACTCTCGGTGTTTCCCTGCGCGGTCGGTGTACCCCGGGCAGCTCTGATTCGCAAACGTGTGCAAAACTAGCAATGGCGATCAACGAGACTTGCTTTGCACCTAACGGGACTAAAGAGACGGAGACACCTCTTTCATAAGGATAGTTTTTGCGACCCGCAACCATGCAATTATCTGGAGAGACATAAAAAGTTGTTGGAAAGACCCACCTGAAGGCCACGCTAGGCGAACGGCTGCAAAAAATTCCCTCCAAATTTAATAAAAACATTAATTATCGCCCAGCACTTCCCCCTTGGAAGCCGAAAGCGCCTCTGACAGAGCTCAATTCGGTGGTTTTTCCTCTACTTCTCCTCCAGGGGCCTCCAATCCAAACTGATGGATCGCTGCCTCCCATTGGCTCCGCGTCTCTTTCACAAGATCAGATTTCGGGCTGTCAATCAGGCGGCTCTCTGCCCCTGCCCGCGGGTCTCCCTAGCCCCCCGGTGTCCTAGCGGGTGCGCGGCCGCCGGGCGCGCGGGGTCCGCAGCCCGCAAACGCCACGGAGGAAACCGACTTCCTCCCTAACCCTCTGCTTATTGTTACGGCGCCTGGGGATACTGAAACCGTGTGTATCGACTCGCCACTTCTCATTACCGGTGTGTTTGGTCCACTATTGGGCTGACTTCCCTCCAGCACGGTTGCGCGGTTCAGGTAGCGACGACGAAGCGCGACCCGCAAAGCCCGCACCTCCTCACCTCCCGGGTGAGGAGATCTCCGGCGCGCGTCGCCTGACCTGGGCGGCCCGGGAGCCCCGCTGCTCGCGCGCTCCCTCGTTCGCTCTCCTCCCCGGTCCCACTGAGCTTTCGGCCCAAGTTCTTTGCCCTTTTTCCAACACCCATCACCACAGTTCGGTTTATCAAAGCGCTTTAAAAAAAAAAAAAAACAGCCATGCTCAACTAAAATTCTATCCTATCGTCCCTGGGACAGGAAAATAAGTCATCTCTGAGTGAAGCACCTAGAAGGAGCAATTTCTTGTTTAGGAGAGAGGTCGTTTTGGGAGGGAGAACCGCGAGGAACACAGAGCAACTGAGGAGATAAAAAGTATAATATAACAAGCAAATTCGTCCCGACGTGTGCCCTGGGAGAAGGTTCTTGCAGTCCACGATGGAGGTGGGGAGAGAGAGGGAGGGGACGCCGGGGCTCGGATATCCTAGGGACCCGCACATTTCCTGAGCTTTTGTTATGTACACACAGAGGCGGAGGGTGTCGCTTACTGTACTTGACGCTTTCACTTCCTCTCCAGCTTTTAAACAGCCCGAGCCCAGGGCTGGGGACAAGCGGTGAGAGGGCTCAGGTTTCAAGAACAATGACTAGAGCCTTAAGGCGTGAGGGGCTGCCTCTCAGAGGCCACTTGCCCTGGCCAGCCTCTGGGGCTTGGAGCCATAAAGCGTCACTCAAGAAGCCGCGGCCCAACCTCGAGGCCGCGGGTTCGGGACCAGGGGCTCAATGGCGTTGAAATTCAGTTATGATCCCTGGTCGGCGACCAGAGCTAGTGACCAAAGGACGTTTCCGGCAGCTGTTCCGCCCGTTGGGACACGTGCTGCAGTTCCCAATTTCTGTTTGAAAGTTTCCTTCCTTAAATGCGACGTTACGGGGACACGTTGAAATGGAGTGTGTGGAGCGCACGACACTCTCAACTCGGGCCTCACAGAGGAGGAGAAAGATCTATGTCAAAAACAAAAGAAAATCTGCACTTATTACAGGGGGAACAACCGGTAACTGTGGACAGCAAGGACACACACCGTTCATTCCCTGACTCTAGTAAATCAGAGTTCACCACGCGCGCACCCACGCGCATTTTGAGCGGGAACTGAATTTTAACCCGGACCAGGGAGGGGTTCCGGACGCAGCCTCGCCGTGGAGGCTGAAACAGTGAACAGGCTCTTGGGTATTTTCTGAGGGTGCGACCAGGCGGAGGGCCAATAACAAGGGTGTCCCACCACCCTGCACTGCTGGGATAACACAATCCCAGTAATCTGAGCAACAGTTTCCAAAGACCTTCTCTGCCGCGGGAGCCTGACGGGTATCCAGGGTAACCGCGAGGGGCGGGGCTTCGGGTTAGGTCCCCGCGAGGTTCTCCCCACAGCCAATAACGAACCGTAAATTCCCAGGCCATTGTTGTTTATTGCTGACCCCGCAGCGCTCCGCTAGCAGATTGGCCGCTTTAGGGAAGGGGGGCGGAGTCCTCCCGCCCCCGCAACCACCTTTCGGCTCCATTCACAAAATCCCGGCCTTTCTTGGTCACGTGGTTGGGGGCGTGGAGGGGCAGGGGAAATGACACAACAGAGGCCCAAGTTTCCCAAACCGCAAAACTTTTTTCTGCCTCGCTACCTCCTCTTTGTCCCGTCTCTGAAACAAATGCTAGATGAAGAAAAGGAGCTTTAGGCTTGGGAGTAATAACGAGATTTTTTAAAAAAGTTAAGACCGAAATTAAAGGAAGGCTCTCAGGGGGGTCATTCCCGGGTACACTGCTTAGGAGAAAAGCCTCGCGAAAGGAAAGGGAGAGAATTGAGAGTGGGGAGAAAGCCTTAAGGAAGGACTGGGAGCTTCTGCTTGCTGCCTCGTCTAGTCACTGTTTTTAGAAGTGAAAACTGTTCGATTGCAGATGGATTTCGGTTTTCTCAACCTCACGTTCTGGAATGTTCATTTCTACCTTTGATTTATGCCACAGTGTCTTGTTGGTTTTTAAAAGCGTCTTTTAGGAATATTGCAGGTTTTCGCTGGCTGACAATTTTAGTTTCCATTTCTAAAGTCCTCTGACTCCTTCGCAGGCCCCCCTCAGCTCCCTCGATCCTTCTCTCTCCCAAAAGTGGAAGGGCATCCAGGCCCTGTCAGCCTCTGATTCTACTACATACTGCAAGAGATCCATATTTTCCCTTTTTTGAATGCTTTAAACGAGCTTATTATCTTTCAACTATTTGATCTTCATAGTAATTAAAAATGATGTTGTCATGTGAATAAGTGTATAGTCCCACTACAGTTTTGTTGAAACAGAATAAAATTTTGAGATAAATGTGTCCCTCTGACATGTGAACAATTAAACCAGCCTCTTTTCTTTCTCTCACTTTTCTGTCCTTTCTCTGCATTGATACTTAATGAAGACAGTATCTCTTCTGTCCTTTCTGTGCCTCGATATTCATTGAGACACTTAGCTTCTAGTTTGGAGACTATTTTCTGTGCTTTGCATTGGGAAAAACTAATAGACCAGTTGCTGAAGAAAGTAGAAGGGCTCAACATTTATTTTTCAGAAAATGTTGCTCTGGTGGAAAATATCTGCAGAGACAGCTGTTCTATCTACAAGAGAAGAACGTAAAAAGTTGCACAAAGTTTCCACTACTTTTGAGAATGTCTTTAAAAATCAGTTTAGCAAATGCCAGTCCTTTGAATTTGAATGGAAAATTTCATTTTGGCAGGATTTCAGGCATAGAATGGCAGAGCAGAGGCCAAGAGGCTTTGACATTTATTTACTTGTATTTTGAAATCCCACTTGGGTTTTGAAATAAGAGCTCTTGAGAGAAAGTCCACCCCCCGCACCCCAAAAGGTCCATTTTGGAGTTTGGAGAGCTTTTAACTTGTGTATAAAACTATTTAAATCTTTATAGTTCCTTTGCTCTATTTAGTAAAGTAAAATAATATTCATTAGTGACTTTTGTGCAGTTAACTTATGGTATTATGATGAAAATGCATATAGTTAAAGTGAATTTCTAAAAGCAGTTTAAAAAAGAAAACAAACTAAAATGGCACTTCTTGTTTTAAATGGTTACTATGATTAAAATCAAATGAAATTTTCTCAAAATTGAGTAGATTATTAAGTAAAATGGAACTTTTATAATCTGTTTTATTAAAATACTATGTAAGACAAATTGTTAAAGGCCTATTTGCACAGAGCTACATCAAATAGATAAGAAAAACAGAATATTAAATAGCAAATTTGGCAAAGGAAATGAACAAGTGAAAATAATCCCGAAGGAAAACATAGAGCCCTAACAGAATGGTAAAATAAAATTAGTGGACTTAGTGGGCTTTCTGTGGGAAGAGAAGCAGAAATTTAGGAGACGGGTGAAACCTATGAAGAAGGTAAATGTATGGAGGAAACTGACACTCTGTAGATGTTCCTTCTCCCCCTCTCAGCACTGCCATTGTCAGCTGGTCAATATCTATAAAGTCCCTCAAGTAGCGGAAATGCAAGCAACTTATAAACATGTGATAAAAAAAATTCTTACCTGCACTAAAAGTCAGGATATTACACTGTACACTTAAAAAAGAAGGAATGCTTTTAGTCCATCAAGTTTGAAAAAAGTTTATAATATGCAGAGATTGGGATCTTAGGATAAGGACATTCACATATATTGTTCGTTGGAATGTGACTTTTTGTAACTTTTTAAAAATAAGTTTATAGTATCTACTGGATCTTAAAATGTACTATATCTATTAGACACTAAAATTATACCCCAAAATTCCTATTTGGGAAATCTATCCTACAAAAATAAAAACAATGGTGCATAAGGACATTTATTGAAGTATTATGTATAGAGGGGAAAATCTGGCAGCAACTTCAATACCCACTAAGAGAGGAATAGATTTAACAAATCCATGTCTGTAGTGCCAGCTACTCAGGAGGCTGAGGCAGGAGGATTCTTTGAGCCCAGGAGTTTGAGGTTAGAGTGAGCTATGATGACACCACTGTACTTTAGCATGGGAGACAGGCTGAGACTCTGTCTCAAAAAAAAAAAAAAAAAAAAAATCAGATTCCAGAGTAGATCCATGGAGTTTCTGATTCGGTCGGCTTAAGCTGGATTGCAGGAAGCACAAGCACATCACTTGGGAATTCTGTGGCAGGAGATTTTGTTGCAGTTGGTCTGTCAACATTTCTTTGAGAAACCCTGGGTTATACTTCTGGGAGTAGTCCAAAGGGAGTCTTGCGATGTGTGCTAGTGCAGACATGTTTTGCTTGACCCACGTAATTCTGACCCTCATGAGGAATTCAGTGTCAACATTTAAAATTTAGACTACACATAAAAATCCAGACTTCCAGTATTTCTTGAAAAATCAGACAATATGATAACACTGGCTCCAAATTCCCACATATCGACCATCAGCTGGAGCTGCTGTAAAGGACTGATGCTCCTCATAAAGTAGCCTGGGCTCTCAATTTTGCCATGTTCCACACTCTTTCCAAGTCGCTGTTTTTTTGTTTATGTTACCTACCTTATGATTTGCATGTGACATAGCATGTTAAGTGAAAAAAGCAGGAGACAGAATATGCAGTATCATATATCCTGTTTTTGTTAAAAAGAAACAAAAATGGTGTACACAAAGGTGTGTGTATATACATTGAAACATATTATATACTCTCAACCTTTTTTTATTATTGCCCCTGAAGGGCCTTTTTTAGACATTTTTATTCCTAGTCACCTTCCTTCCATTAACTTTTAATACCACAATACTGTGTATCCGTTTATGTCCTATAGTGCTTTGGAGGATCACAGACCATTGTGATACCTAAGAGCCTCTAAGAATCAATTTTCAAAACTTAGGGTCAATATCACTCCAATTGAGAATGTATGATATATATCTGTTTTTCTTTTTATAGATACTGTATTTACCTATTAATAGTTAGATATTAATAATATCTTTTTTATGATCAAAATGAAGGGTATGGAAGGACACACCTCCATCTTTTATCATAATTTACATTTGCCTCTAGTAGGTCAGATAGAAGGTGGGAAGTAAATGATAATCAATTTTTTTTTTCTAGTACTTGAAATAGTTTGTTACAACATGCATGTTTCATAGTTGTATTTTTTTTTAATCCACTAAAAGAAAGAACAAATTCTTGGTTTAAATTAGGGTTAGTTTTGCAGGGACAACAGAAATTTTTATTTATAGAACAGCAATATACCTAGGTGGTCGTGGGTCTTAACTTTTGAGTGATACATAAAGTTTGGAATAACTAATAAGCAAGGAACAAAACATGAGCCCTCTATCTTCCTTTAGAAATAAGATCATTTGCATTTCTTTTATTTTTTTTTTCTTTCTTTTTTTTTTTGAGACAGAGTCTCACTTTGTTGCCCAGGCTAGAGTGAGTGCCGTGGCGTCAGCCTGGCTCACAGCAACCTCAATCTCCGGGGCTCAGCGATCCTACTGCCTCAGCCTCCCGAGTAG